ACACTTCCCAACTTGAAAACATACTACAAAGCTACAGTAATCAAAACTGTGTGGTACTGGCTAGGGACAGATATATAGACTAACAGCATAGTATCAAGAGTCCAGAAATAAACCCATACGTCTATGGTTAAATGATTTTTGACAAGAGTACCAAGACCATTCAATAGGGATAGAACAGTCCCTTCAACAAACAATGCTGGATAACTGGACATCCCTATGCAATAGAATGAAGTTGGGTCCCACACCTCACACACACACACAAGTTTACTCAAACTGAAACAAATGTAAATATAAGGGACAAACCTGTAGAAGTTTTAGAAGAAAACTTAGGGGTAAATCTGTGCAATCTTGGTTTTGGCAATAGATTCTTAGATACAACACCAAAAGTACTAGCAATAAGAAAAAACAAGTAAATTGGACTTCATCACCATTAAAAACTTTATACATCACACGACATTATTAAGGAAGTAAAAAGACAACCTACAGAATGGGAGACAGTATTTGCAAATCATGTATCTGAGAAAGGCTTACAGAATATATAAAAAAACTCTTACAACTCAACAATAATACAAAAAAATTAAAAATGGGCAAAGAACTTGAACAGAGATTTGTCCAAAGACATGATGGAATAGACATTTCTCCAAAGATAGATAAATGACCAACATGCACATGACAAGATGCTCAACATCATTAGACACGAGGAAAATGCAAATCAAAACCCACAATGAAATACTATGTCACACTTGGTAGGATGGTTATGAAAATAATAAACAAGTGTTGGCAAGGATGTGGAGAAATTGAAACTCATAGATTGATTGTTGGTGGGAATGTAAAATGGTTCAGTCACTGTGGAAAACAGTTTGGTGGTTCCTCAAAGAGTTAAACATAGAATTACCATGACTTAGCAATTCCACTTGTAGGCATACATCCAAAAGAAATGAAAGTATATACTCAAAACCTTATACACAAATATTTACAGCAGGACTACTAATGATAGCCAAAAGGTGGAAACAAATCAAATGTCTATAAACAAAGGAATGGTTGTGGTATATCCATGAAACAAAATATTATGTAGTCATAAAAAGGAATGAAGTACTAATATGTGCAACATCGTGAACCTTGAAAACATTATGCTAAGCGAAAGCCAAACACAAAAGGCCCCATTATTTTATGACTCCATTTATATGAAATATCTTGATCAGATAAATCCAGAGACAAAAAGCAGTTAGTAGTTGCCAAGGGCTGGGATAAGGGGGAAATGGGGAGTTGTTTAATGTGTTTCAGTTTGTAGGACTGAAGAGTGCTGAAAAATGGTTGCACAGCAATGTGAATATACTTAACATTACTGAGCTGCACACTTAAAAATGATCAAGATGGCAAATTTTATGCTATATGTTTTTCTTTTTAAGATTCTATTTGAGAGAGAGGGAGAGAGTGAGAGAGACAGCACAAGTTGGGGGAGGGGCAGAGGGGCAGAGGTAGAGGGAGAAAGAAGTAGACTCCCCGCTGAGCAGGAAGCCTAACAGGGATCCCAGGACCCTGAGATCATGACCTGAGCCGAAGGCAGACACTTAACTGGCTGAGCCACCCAGATTCCCTGCTATGTTTTTTTATCACAGAAAAAATTCCTATCCATAAATCCTAGAGGTCAGTATAATTCCTCATCTTGCACATGGAGAACTGAGGCCCAGACATGGGGAGCTACTTGCCCCAAATCACAGTTGGACAGAAACAGAGCTAGGAGAACTCATCACTCCTACTCTGTCTAGTGCTCTATTTTTTTTTTTTTTTGAAGATTTTATTTATTTTTGACAGAGTGTATGCAAGTAGGGGAAGCAGCGGGCGGAGGGAGAGGGAGAAGCAGGCTCTGTGCTGAGTTTGGAGCCCGATGTGGGACTTGATCCCAGGACCCTGGGATCATGAGCTGAGTCGAAGGCAGACGCTTAACCATCTGAGCCACCCAGGTGCCCTAGTGCTCTTTCTATTAACCCTCCTGTTCCCTTAGCTCTGAGGCTCAGAAACAGAAATGATGGGAAAAGAGAACTTTAAGCTTAGAAAGAAAAATGCCAAGAACTTAGATGGTGGGCAATTAAAGAGTAAATACACTGCATGGGAAGGAAAATGGAGAATAACTACTTAATGAGTACAGTGTTCCTTTGAGGTGATGAAAATGTTTAAGAACTTAAGAGATTACATAGTGGTTATACAACATTGTATAGGTACAAAATGCCACTGAATTGTACACTTTAAAAATGTTAATTTTAGGGCACCTGGGTGGCTCAGTCGTTAGGCGTCTGCCTTCGGCTCAGGTCATGATCCCAGGGTCCTGGGATCGAGTCCCTCATCGGGCTCCCTGCTTGGCAGGAAGCCTGCTTCTCCCTCTCCCACTCGCCCTGCTTGTGTTCCTGCTCTCACTCTCTCTCTCTCTCTCTAGTAAATAAATAAAATCTTTAAAAAAATAAAAATAAATAAAAATGTTAATTTTATGTTCTGTGCATTTCACCTCAATTAAAAAAAAATCTAGCTTTATTTATATTTCCTGAATCAAATTTTCTAACCCATATAATTTTTCAGGTATGGGTGTTTATTTGTTTCAATTTAAGTATTAATAAATATGTGGAACAAAGGTAGAAACTTAAAAAGTCCAAAAAGCATGTATGTTGGAACCAATTCCCATCCCTTTCGCTCCATTTGCCTCTCTAAATGCTACCAATATTCCTAATTATTCTGTATTCTTCCAGGTATGAATATGGATTTGGTTCTTCGTTTGTTACAGTCAACTTTATCAAGTACTGTGAAGAAAACCAACTTAATGTCCTGCTACTCATTTGAACTGCTAACAAAGTATTAACAAGAAGCAGCTTATAGGACTTGCTTTAATGGCTGTATAAAACTCATATTTAACTATACAAGAATATGGATTTGTTTTAAATCTATTTGCTGCTGGAGGGGTCGTGCCTGGGTGACTCAGTCGGTCAAGCATCTGCTTTCGGCTCAGGTCATGATCCTGGGGTCCTGGATCCAGGGCATTGGGCTCCCTGCTCAGCAGGGAGCCTGCTTCTCTCTCTGCCTGCCACTCCCCCTGCTTGGGCTCTCTGTCAAATAAATTTTAAAAATCTTTTTTTTAAATAAATCTATTTGCTTAGAACTATATACACATCAAGTCTTTCGTCATTCTCTTGATTCTTTCCTCCTAGAATGATAATTAAATCTAGTGTCTTCTCACTCCATGTCTCGTGTTCTTTTTGCTTTCTGATCTTCATATTTCTTTTCAGTTCAATCTAGTTTGCTGTTTAACCTAATCAATGAAGTTTTAAAGTATTTATTCTTATTTCTAAAAATTCTTTGGATCTTTTCTAATTACACCTGAACTTTTTTTTTTTTAAAGTAATCCCTACATCCAACATGGGGCTAGAACTCATGATCCTGAGGATCAAGAGTTGTGTGCTCTACCAACTAAGGGACAATTCCACAGAGGCTTAGCCTACTATGTTACCAAAAGTCCCTCAATAAACTTTTTAAAATGAATAAACTGTCATAGGGTACTCTTGTAGGGTATGCCTGACAGATTACTGACAGCCCACTAAAGTATCCAAACTGGTGAAAAGAATCTCAAGGTACAGATATACACACAACTACTACTGCACAATTTTCCTTAATTTATTCAAATACTAAATTTCGGGCACAGTGGTAGAGATCACAATCTAATGGAAGAAACAGACATATAGCAATCAGCTTGGATGACTAGGATAAAGGTGTTGCCATAAATACTGGAGAAGCTAGGTGGGGAAACTAGAATTTGCAGGAGGGAAATAATCCGTTGGCTTTCCAATGTGTTAATCTTGAGCATCCAAGAGCACATGCAAGTCATTATATCCAGGAGATACAGAACTGTTTCAAAGACTTGGGATGAATTAGCTCAGTAGTATTAATTAAAGAAAGTAGTAAGGAATGAATACATACTAATGAGACAATTTTTAAAAGTCCAATTCCTCTACAACAGAAAATTTAAACCATATAATTTATACTACATTTGACCCTTGAACAACACAGGTTTGAACTGTCTGGGTTTACTTACATGCAGACTTTTTACAGTATAGTACTGTAAATGTATTTTCTCAAAATTTTATTTTCTCTAGCTCACCTTATTTTAAGAATGTAGTATATAATACATATAATATACAAATACATGTTAATCAACCATTTACGTTATCAGTAAGGCTTCCAGTCAACAGTAGGCTAATAAGTAATTAAGTCTGAGGGATTCAAAAGTTATACTTGGATTTTCAACTAGATGGAAGGTCAATTGCCCCTAAACACCACGTTGTTCAAGGGTCAACTGTAGTTTCCTCTCTGAGTATAGGTAATCTGAGAGACCTGGGATTTCAAAGGCAAACTCCCATTCTTACTTTAAAACTCTTTTAGGGAAAGGGAATTCCTTGTTGGGAATTGTTCAAATGGAGAACAAGAAATTTCTGCATTTGACCTGTTCTCCTGAAAGAAACGACGAGTCTAGCTACTTCGGCTTTAATTTCTGAAACTATGGCGAACGGATTTATGTAGTAATAACTGTCACAGTACAATTTCAATGTGACATAACAGTTGCATTGATCTGGCAAAAACTGTCCAATACACGGCGATAAAGTAAATGGAGAAAGCCTCTCAATAAGCTTCAACCTCATTTTAACCACTAGAGGGCTACATTGTCATATGATTTCGTGATCCCTTAGCCACTCAATTTTAGAACTGCAAAGCAACATGATTTAAAAGAACTAGGTTTATTCTGTAATAACTAATTTTAATATTACCATTAAATAATTATCAAATCACTTTATAAACCAGAGGACTTAGTGGGCAGGAAAATGTGCTACCAAGAATTGGCGGGATTGTTCCCTCCTTGGTATGCTGGGCAACAAAAGCAGGACTGATAAAATACGACATGAGGCAATTCAAGTTCTTTCATACTTCTTGGTCAACTTTTATAACACTGACAGACTTACGTTTTAAGTGTTCCAGATGTCATAAGTTCAGTCACCAAAACAATGCACTTCTTTCCTTTTACTGTGGACTCCCAGGAATCATAGAATCGAACAATATTGGGATGCTGAAGGCCCTTTAACATTTCAGCCTCTTCTTTAAATCTCTGCCTCTCAGACTTTGTTAATTTTCGATCCTAAAATCAAGAACCAAAACAGAATGTGGTTTAAAATAACAGAACACCAAGTCACACAAATTTAAATGCTGTTAAGATCATACTGCACACCTGAAACTAATATAGCACTATCTGCTAATTATATTTAAATAAAATAGTTCAAAAAAACCCCACAAAAATAAATTCAAATGCCAAACGTATACTAAGTTATAATGATCAATAAACCAGGAATGCTGTAACATTAAAGTTACTAATTTCTTCAGCCTTTCATGAGTGTGAGAACAGGCTAAAGTATATTTAAGAAAACTGGATTATAATGTCATGCTTGAGATTATTTCAATGTCTTTATATTAACATGTGCTTCAGATACAGTATCATTTTGTGGGTACAGTTAACTTACCACTTCTAAAATATGTCATTTATTGCTATGCAATATATGCAACTTAACAATATGGAACAAGTATGAGATTTTGGAGGCAAAAAGATCTAAATATAAATTCTAGTTCTGTCTTTGCTTTGATTAGAATTTTCTTTATGAATATATTAAATAATCCTCTAGGTATGCTTTCATCACGTTTAAAGCTCCTGGGAATTCTTAGGTTAATTCACTTCTCTGAGATGAACTGGGGGAAAGCACTTAATTTGCTGATCTTCCCTTGACAAGGTCCCATATACACAAGCTCCAAATTATTCTGTATATTAAAATTGAAACTGTCTCTGTCTTATTAATATTCTGTCAAATCATGCAATACATATTTTAACAAAAGATTCCAGGCATACAATGTGTCCGTCACACAGTTAAATAAACATTATAGACGTAATTAAAAGCCCCCTAATGTAACAAGATTGTCCTTCCCATCACTACTCCTTACCCTTGAGTAACGACTAGACTGAATTTGGACATACCACTGCCATACAGGTTTTTACACTTCGGTTAAAATGTTAAAATTTCATAAAATGATGTTATAGAGTATGTTTTCTTTGAAAGCTTTTTTTTTCACTCAGAAAGCTTGTTTTTTTCACTCGATATTGTTTGAGATCGCCTGTGATGATATATAAGGAGACACTGCAAGGTATCTACCATATTATTGTAACTTGGTTTTATTCACAGTCACTGTTACACAGTTACCTGTTACCTAAATATATCACAATTTATATCATCTCCTATTGATTAATCCTTAGGCTATTCCCCATTTTTTGCTACTACAATACTGCAGTGGTGTTACACCATTAATCTCCTTGGATATACATTTAAATGTGTCTCTAGGACACAGGTTCTTATTACAAAGCTACAGTAATCAAAACACTGTGGTACTGGCACAAGGATAGATATGTAGATCAAAGAAATAGCATTGGAAGTCTAGAAATAAGCCCATACATCAATTATGAATATATATACCTGAGAGTATTCAGTAACCCTTGTGATTTTTGTCACCAACAGCCCTAGATATTTTGATATCACATAACAGTGGTTATAGATTGTCTCAAAATATCATTTACATTAATCATTACTTTGAAATTGACAGTTATTAGATCTTTCAGTTGATCTGATTATATACACTAACAATACATACTGTATCATAAATTTTAAAATTTTTGTAACTATTTTAGTATAATTAGTTTCCATTATAATCCTATGTATTTTACTGTTTAGACTTAAAACACTACTGTAGCCTTCAAAAGAGATATGAGGCACAAAAAAATACTAAGAACATCTATTAGGATCATGTTGAGAATTACTGAATCATAAGAAAAAGGCACCTTCAATTTTTCTTTTTTCTTTTTTAAGATTTTATTTATTTGACAGAGAGCACAAGCAGGAGGAATGGGAGAGGGAGAAGCAGGCTCCCCGTTGAGCAGGGAGCCCAATGCGGGGCTCAATCCCAGGACCCTGAGATCATGACCTGAGCTGAAGGCAGACGCTTGACCAACTGAGCCACCCAGGCGCCCCACACGTTCAATTTTCATAGCTATCAACAAACTTGCTTTTCAAGGGGACTATACCAATGTACTCTCTTAATAGCATTGTATGAAGGTTTCCATTGCTACACAGGGTCACCAGTAATTGGTATTATCAGACACTAACTTTTTATCAATATGATGGGTGCAAACTCATATCCTGTTTAATTTACATTTTTAGAGGCAAGAATGAAAAAAAGTTTTTGTTTTCTTTGCAGGCTACTTGAGATTCTTCTTCAGTGAGATGCCTAATCTTATCATTTGTTTTCCTTTTTTGTAGAAGTTCTCAACATATTCTGGATACAAATCCTTTATTAATTTTATGTTACAAATGTTTTCTCAATTTGTGGTTTTGTGTCTCCACCACCTTGCTTATGATGTCTTTTGATTTTGATATTTTTATTTCACTGTAGTTCAATTAATCTTTTACTTTATGGTAGGTGGGCTTTATCTATTCAGTAATTCTTCCAGACACTGAGGCCATACCTTTTCTTTTCCTTTTTAAAATATAAACGTTTTGTTTGCCATACTTGGGAATTTATCCGTTGAGGAGTTTATTTGGTTGGATAAAAGAAGGATTGGCTGTTTTTTTCTATATCAACTAATAACCTAATACCATTTGATGAACAATCCATCCTTCCCATATAAGTGTAATTCTATTTCTATTCCAATGGTCTGTCTATTCTGCACTAGTACCACACTTTCTTAATTGTTATAGTTTTAAAATAATTCATTCTTGGTAGAACCACTTCCTATAACACCTTCCTCAACTTATTTTCTAAATTATCTTGGTTATTTGTTTTTCCAGTAAGAAGACTTTTATTTTTATAACGTAGAAATACAGCACAAGCCAACTAAAACTATCAGAATATTATCAAGAATTTTAATTAAAGGCATATAATTTGTAATGATATGGAGACTGTATAATCTGTTCAACAACTTTTTCCTAAACTGCATATATTAATTTTTAAAAGATTTATTGTAAATTTACATACCACTAAAAAACACTATTCTCTTCATCCCTCCCCATCTTATACATTATTTCCCTAATACTTTAGCTCCCTCTTATCCTATTGCTCCTTAAGATAACATTATAATTGTTATTTAACAGTATATGCTTACTTTTATATACCCACGTATCTTTTTGTTCACCTTTCCATTTTGCTCCTTATTCTCTTTATCTGGGTTCATTTTTCTTCTTCCATGAAATATACTTTTCAAAATTCTTTCAGTAAACATTCCATTAGTGGTATAATCCAGGTTGTTTGAAATATTTACTTCATCATCACTCTTGAATGATAGTTTAGATGGACGTAGAATTCCAGGCTGGCTTATTTTTCTTCCAGCATTTTCAAGATACTGTTTTGTGGTGTTCTGGTGTCCACTGCAGCTGTCAGTATAAATGTTCTCCTTTGTAAATTTATCTGTATTTTCTCTCTAGTTGTTCCAAAGACTTTTTTTTTTTTAATTGTGTTCTGCACTTTCAGTACCATGCACCTAGTTTTATGTATATATAATGGGGCTGTGTTTCTAAGCCAAAAGTTTCAAGTATTTGTCTTCAAGTCAGAGAATTCTCAATTATTATCTCTTTGAAAATTGCCTCCTCCTATTTCCCTTTCTCTTCTTTATAAGATTTATGTGTTATGTGTGTATGTGTGTGTGTGCACGTACACAACCTTACTCTATCCTTCCTATCTTAACTTCTCTCTCATTTTCCATTTCTTATACCTTCTGGGCAATGTTCTCAGATCTACCTTCTTGTTCACTAAGTCTCTCTTGAGTCATTATATCTGAACTGCTTATTACCTCTTTTAAATTTTTTTTAAATTAATCAAACTTTAACATCCAAAGGATGGGGCACCTGGGTGGCTCAGCTGTTAAGCATCTGCCTTCGGCTCAGGTCATGATCCCAGGGTCATGGGATCCAGCCCTCCATCGGGCTCCCTGCTCCGCGGGAAGCCTGCTTCTCCCTCTCCCACTCCCCGCTGCTTGTGTTCCCTCTCTCGCTGTGTCTCTCTCTCTGTCAGACAAACAAACAAATAGTCCAAAGGAGGAAGGGATACAAAAGACATGTGGCCAGGTCTCAGTCCCTGCTCCAGAAGTAAGAGATGAATGAACACAAACCAGATGAACACTTCCAACTGAACATACAAGTCTTGGAGGGCTAGGTATATAGGTAAGAGGAGCAAATATTTGGACATCCACAAAGAAAATAAAACAAAATTGTCAGTCTGTCACCAAAAGTACCCACCAAAGGGTTTGATAAAAGGAACTCAGTCACCACTCCAGCCCCTACTCTCCTCACTAATATCATAAACAAAGCAAGGAGGGAAAAAAGAACAAAAGGGCTCCGCACCTAACTGCTTCAGTGGGGAAGGAATTCTGCTGCCATTTCACCAGGCCCAATGCCTGGAGAAAGGATATGTCCCTCCCCATCCAGTGGCAACCCTAACACATGGGTTTTGAATGAGACATGATAACTGTCAGCTCAATTTGCAAAGAACCCCTCCAACCTCCCCCCATTCCCTGCTTCATGAACATATAAGTTTTCCCAGCACCTTCCTTGGAATTTCCTCTATTCCGGAGTCCTGCTCCATCCATCTCCAAATTATCACTGCAAGCTTGGCTTCTCTCAAAGTTCCATAAAAGCCCCCTTTCACAGCCCTTAATTACTTGTATTCCCACTCTCAACTAGGGGCTACAGTCATCCACAAGTCATATACCCTGTCCACTGACACTCAGATCTATGGCAGCAGAGCTTTTTTGTCCTGGATTATCCTCCTAAAATGTTCCTGTTCTGGAGAGAACAGACTGTGAAAAGATAAAGTCAAAATATCTAAAGGCAGATAACTGAGGAAAGTGGCACTTGTCATTTAGTTTTTAATCGCAATGCATTTTCATTTCTTGAATCTCTTTTCAGGTCTTTATTAAATCAGTCATTCACTACCCCCCTCCAACACTAACATGATGTTTTTAGTCCTTTAACTTTTTAAAAATAACTTACCTTAAAGGCTCAATTCAATCTTTTATCTGAGTTACTGGGGCTTTAATTTTACCTACTG